TCATTGCGTCACTGATTTTAAAAAGAGGGGTGAGTATGGTTTAAGGGTAATATGGCCTATAGCTTTTTTTCAAAAGGAGCAGTGACTTCTCTGTGACTCTTTCTGGTCCTTTGGCCCTTGTACCTAATCTGCGTCTTTGCTTTTAGGCTTCTCTTCAACCTTTTGCTTTAAAAAGTAGGCATTGCAACAAAAAAATAGACTGCTTGTTGGTTTCTGAAGTAGCAGTAGCATTTTAAGGTTTTGAGTCATTTGTAAGTTATGCCCATTTAGGCTTTAAGCTGAAAATTAGGAAGTTCTGAATGATCACTGGATCTAAGTAGTGACATATGAAGGAACAGTTATGGAAGACCACTGATTAACTTGTAACTGAATAACAGCTGAACCAGCTGGGCTGTCAACAGAAATTTTCATGGTGTGCCAAGAAGTGGTGACCCATATCCACTTCAAATCTAGTTAAAGCCTTTTGAAGAAGCTAGGGGAATAATTTCTACCAGAAAATGCTGTAATGCACAAATAGCTTCACTGCAGCTATGGAAAACACAACAATGTCAGGCTTTTGAGATCATACGAAGTCCTTACATATAAAATTTCTGCTGAAGAGTGCAGTGTGCTAGAGGCTTTAGCCCTCTGTCCTGTAGTACTGTATTGCCTAGGGGAAGAAATTATGGTTATTCTGGTACACACAACATAAAAAAGATATGCTGAGAGTAACTTTCACTGGGCAGGTTTTTAAATGGAGATTATTAGCCTACTTTGACTGACTCACTGCAAAGCTAGATGTCTGTATCCATCAGCTTTGGTTGAGGACAAAGAAGCTCATATTTTTTATCTGTCACCAGCCTGTTAAGGATTTCTGATGAGACCTGTAGAGAGACATTGAGGTTATTAATATTGAATGGTCACAGTGTTGTATTACCATATAAGCAGTATGTACACTAGGGAGAAGCTTCTCACTCTGAACAGGATTTTTCTTGGAGGAAATCCAGACAGCAATTCATTAAAATATACTGCATGCTGCCATGGATTGTGGCAGAGGCCCAAAAGTGGTGTCACTGACCTAAAAATGAATTGGTACATAGACTAGGAAGAAAAGTAAACGAGTGTATCTAAACATTGAGAAACTGCAAGTAACCTACTACTAAAAGTACTGGATGGGCCTAAAAAGGAAAAGCAGCCTCTTACAGAAAGGGCAGAATGACGTTTTGAATTGTGGAGACACGGAGAGCTGAACAAAAAGGGGCCTGCGAGACATTTTGGTATCTGTTTATTTGTGTCAAGTCTACGGACCTCTCTTTATAGAGTAGCTCACCATTAATTGGTGGAAATTTTATAATTAGAACTGTGTATAAAATATTGGGCTAAGTATGCGTGGTGGTGTAACCCCTCCCTTCTTGGGCCACACTGTGATGCCAACACCAGCCAACATCTGAACTTTCAAACCTGCTTTGAGGTTGCTTTTCTAAAACGGAGAAATTAAGTCATCTCATGTACGTCCCTCAGTCTGGTTTTATCAAAAGTTTCTACTCTTCAAGCTAGAATGCCTGGAACTATAGCTTCAAATGAAAACTAAGTGGTAGTTCAGGCTCTAGGACTTTTTCTTTTTTCTCTTCTCAAAACAGAGCAGTGGAATTTAGCAAAACAATTGAATAGCAGGCTTTTTGCTACCACCCGACTACAGGCAATATTTCTTGGTCCTACTCTTTGCCCAAGTGATCTGCTTTCTGCTCTTTAATCTGTATAGCTCATTTCTGCGTTCTGCTCAAAAGAAATGTTAGACCTTTCTGTGAACGAATCCTTCAAATCCGATGCAGCTGATATACCCTTTACAGCAGCTATCCTACAGCTATTAGCGGAATGCTAGCAAGTAGATATGCTTTGGTATGGGGGTTTTGTGCTGTAGAATAGAAGACTGGATGTTATCTAAGGTATTGAAATGGTATCTGTGACAAGAGTGGCCGAATACCATTCTGACTTTGCTACAGCCACATGCACTGCTTCCTGCAAGGCGAATGCATCCTGTGATGCCTGGAATGGGATACGGTGATTTAATTTTGTGAGCCTTTTCTATTACAACATTTCTGTGCTCAACTTTCCCCCATCCAGGGAGGAAAGCCTGGCCCAGCACTGCTCTCAGACTGTTGCATAGAGAGCTGAATTTTTGAGTATAAAACAAAAATGCTTGTATATGAGAATAATTGGCTCTTCAAAGCAGGAACCCTGTGTTGGGGATGTTTTCACAGAAACATCGTAAGATTAGGAGAACATAAATTTTGTGCAGCAGGACACTTGGTCCTGGGAACCATCAGGGAGGATTAAATGGAGGACTTTGTATTCCCTGATGACCATATCCTTGAGAAGAAATTACAAGATCGATAAGAAGCCAATCATCCAGCCCAAAGAGGTGCCAAATCGTGGACTGTTGCCTAATGAGGATGAAGTAAGCAAAAACTGTGGGGTAAAGGTAAATGCGGCAGGGGGAGATCGCGGCCACCAACTCACGGACCACTGACTTTGGAAAGCCCTCCGACCCAAAAGAATGTGAACACTGTGCGTGTGGACTCGTTAGCATGAAAAGCTTGAAATTAACAGACCAACAGAAAGCAGATTACATCCTTTTGTACCAATTAATGTAGTTTTAGGTGGAGTTTTGCTAATAATGCATCAGGATAAATATGGTGTAGTTTTTATAGGAGGTGGGCTTGATTTGTGGCAATCCACCGAGCACGCAGCCTTGCGCAGCTCAGAAGTAACCGATGTCTCCTCTCTGAACGCACCTGGTGTGTCCTGGGAGCTCTTCCAGCTCAGGTAACACCACCAAGCTCCAGAACGAAGCGAGGCGGCGGGCGGGGCTCGCTGTGCACGTGACGTTGGCGCCGCCGGAAGCGGGTGGGCGGGGTCGATGAGGGCCGCGACCGCGGCGCCGGGCGGGCAGTTAAGGCAGTAGTAGTCCCGAAGGTACTGGGGCAGGCGCGGAGGAGCGTCACGCTGGGCGGGAACAGGGGGTAAGAGCAGTAATACCTCCTCCCCTGCTTGTCAGGGAAGGGGCTGCGCCTGGGGGGCTGAGGGGCCGAGGCTTTCTTGGGGTGTCTCACGGCTGGAGTCTCTTGGTGGAACCGCGCCCTGTGTCCTTCTGGCGTACCGAGCTGACAGCCGGCGTGGGGGTGAAGGGGGCGGCATTAGTGTTTTGTGCTTTCATTGCTTGCCATGCTTGCCAATACCCAGAAGTATCTCGGGTATTCTCTTCGGAGAAATCTTGTTTCTTCTAGTGTAGAATCTAGCGTGAGTTACCCTTGTGAAGGATATTGTCTGCATGTCATGGGGGGGCAGCGTGATAGCCGGTGGTTGGCCTTTCTATTTTCCTGTTTGTTTGTTGAAGAGGTTTTCAGTTGCTTCGCAGTGTGTGACATAACAGGAAAGCACATGTATATTTTTCAGGTCTAAAAGTAGAGCCAGGAAACCTTAACTTGAAGTGTTGCAGATTAAAGATTGGGTGTAACACATACTGACAGCAGTTCCTCTGAGGAAAGGTTACAGGAGAACCTTGCCATTGCTTGCCCACCTCCTGTTTTGTCAAACAGAGCCTGAATTGCAGCGTTGACCTTTTCAATAAAAAATTAATAACCAAAGAAAACCCCCTTAACCCACCACTTTGCTGTAGTGCTGCCTGGTCTGTCACAACTGGCGGTCGGTGCTATGCCAGGATCCCCCTTTTAGCAGGATTCAGGTTGCTGCTGCATGTGTTAGCACCGTGCTGGGCACTTGGGGTTGTAGGTCTGGGTTTCGTTTGTTGGGTTCTGCTGTTGGATTTGCCGATGCTAAAGTCAGAATTATTGTTTGCTTTGGTCTTCATATTCTCCTTTATGCACCTTTACGCACTCCTGTTGTAAATTGGTGGTGGTATCTCATGAGAAGATGGAAAAGGGCAAAGCAGGTATGCAGCACAGGGCCCTTGTGCTCTCTGAATTGCGTTTTAGACAGTGGCCTTAAGTGGAAGAATTAACACCCTTCTGACCCAAATCCCCCCCAAGAGAAGCCAGATGTTGCAATAGGCCATCCTGTTGTTGAATCATTGCAGAAGATTGACCCCAAGGCCCTGTGGAACAAGTCACAGACCATGGCCTTTTGGTTTGGTGGTTTTTAATTTTTGTTTTGTTGGGTTTTTTTTTTCTTTTAATGTTGCAAGCAGTTGTCACACAGTAATCGTGCTAGCACTCTCATATTTGGCATTTTCCCTGTCTGCCTGCCATCACCACACAATTTGCATGCTGCCTGAAGTTGTTTCTCCAGAACATGCAAGAAATAATTATTCAGTAGCTTTGAAATTGGGTCTTGAATTTTCATCATTTCATTATTTATCATGCTAAAGAAATTATAAGGTAGTTGGATATGCTCACAAGCTGTTGTTTCATTTCTTATTAATGCAAGTTTTACAAACTCCTGTAGTTATTTGTTGAGTTCATGGACTGTGTGTGTTTGAGGAAGAAAAATGAAACACCCTTTTCTTCTCTGATCTGTCTTTGCCTGGTATCTCTTAAGTTGATGTAAGATAACACTGGAAAATGTGAGTTCAGCCCATGGGGCTTGTCTGCCTATGGAAATCTGGGGACAGCACAGAAAGCGTTAAAGGAAACAGAAGCATGTTGTTATTTGTCTTGGAAAACCTGCTTTTGTACTGTGTACCTTTTCCCTGTCTGCAGGCAGGGGTCAGCTGCAAGTGGAGAGCTGCTAGGACCCTGCTGAGGACACTGAATTATCAGTCTTCCCCAGTACAGTGATTATGTGTTTGTTCATTTATGTTTATCTGTGTGCAGTGTCCCTTGTTAGGGTGGCACCTTATTTCTTTAAGGAAGCCTTTAATTTTCATATTTCAGAAGTCCAAAACATTTCTTGGCAAGGAAAGATGTTTGCATTGTTTCTTATGCTGTTTAAAGCGATACCTTGGAGGGTTTCACTTCGTGTGGCATCACTTTGTTTCTTTCTAATTGTAAGTTTTGGTTTCTTGAAGGGATCCCTCATTTGATGCTCCCTGACCAGCAAGTCCTTTAAATACATTCTGGCAGTGGTCACACTGACAAACTTCACCCAAAGGAGGGAAGATGATGTCCTTGGATGGGCCGCAGAAGACAATCAGTAACCCGGTAACTCCCCATCACGTCAGCAACTTGTGCTGTGGGAAATGGGACTGTGGTGGCTCGTGTCAGTAGTCAGCACTCGCACTGCTTTGCACAGTGAGGGGCATCACTGAGAACTCTGCTTTGATCTGGAAGAATGTCACAGGTGACACAAGGAGCTGATGGTGATTAGAAACTGTGCTGTTATCAAATGGACACTTAATGCACAGCAATTCCAAAACAGGAAGGGAGTTCTGTTGGCATGGGGCTGATATCTTTTTTCATACACATTCGTTTTTGGAGAATGTGCTGGATCAAAGGTGAAAATATGATAAGCAGTGTTTTCACTCTCAGTTCTCTGTAAACATGGGTGGTGCCTGGCAGCCCTTGTGTTTTGTTTTGGTTTCGTTTTGTGGTGCTTGCAACTTCAGTCTGAACAATTAAACTTGGAATCTTTTTCTGCAGTTGATATCTTACCTTTCAGTAAATCTTGTTTTGTAGAGAAGACTCGGGCTAAAGCAGTTCAGCAGTTGCAGAGAGTAGATTTGACGGAGTGTTGTTTGCCTAGCGTAGAGTCTGGAGACTTTCTCGGAAAAGCTCTAGGATTCTTGTGATCTGGGACAGGGGGCTGGCAAAGGCATGTGGCTGAAGGCATGGCCTGGAGCTGCGATTGTTGTTGTATCTTCTAAAGATAGTTCCTTTGAGCCTGCAGGAAATAGTATTTTTAGCGTTCTGTGCTAGGACTCTTTAAAAATATTAAAGTCTGTAACCTATGTGGAGTCCACAGTAGTGCATGTCTGCACAGGACATAGGTACCTATTGCAGCTTTGCACTGATATGTGCCTGTGCCCTCAGTGAATCTGATTGTTCAGTCCACTATAGTTAGGGACAACGGGGCAGTAGCTTCAACCCTCTTCACAAGAGCCCAGCTGGGTGGGGAAGGAGAGCTGGATGAAAGCTGTGTTATCACAGCCCTTTCCTCCGTACAACTATAGCCTGTCCTCTTGTTCTATGAAAAGTGCCAGATATTAGAAAGAACTTGATCTTTGAGACCTCTCAAACTCTGTTGACATTGACCAGTTAGCTTCAGAGGTAATTTTTGGAGGTCTGGAAGAGAGCTGTGATGCTGGTAGATCATGTGATGTCACAAGCATTAATTATGCTTTATAAATGAGGAAAAAATAGTGAGATGTGAAGAAATTACAGGTACATTCTGCGATGACAAACCTCATTAAGTCTGTGGTATTGCACCCAGGAAATGCTTTATTATGGCCTTGCAAATTCCATGTCTGAGCTTCTGAAGAGATGATAGGCCTTTCTGAGGCCCTGAGGAAAAGGAAAAAGGACTTAGGGGTACTAGTAAATGAGAAGCTGGACATGAGCAACCAATGCACATCTGCAGCCCAGAAGGCCAACTGCATCAAAAGAAGTGTGGGAGGTGTGAGTGATCGAGGGAGGTGATTCTGCCCCTCTACTCTGCTCTGGTGAGACCCCACCTGGAGTACTGTGTCCAGCTTTGGAGTCCCCAGCACAAAAAGGACATTGAAGTGCTGGAGCATGTGCAGAGGAGGGACGCAAAGATGATCAAAAGGCTGGAGCACCTCTGCTACGAAGACAGGCTGAGAGAGTTGGGGTTGTTCAGCCTGGAGAAGAGAAGGCTCTGGGGGGACCTTATAGCGACCTTCCAATACCTGAAAGGTGCCTATAAGAAATCTGGGGAAGAGCTGCTCACTAGGGCATGTAGCAATAGGATGAAGGGTAATGGTTTTAAACTAGAAAAGGGTAGATTTAGGTTGAATATTGGGAGAAAGCTCTTCAAAATGAGGGTGACAGATCACTGGAACAGGTTGCCTAGAGAGGTGGTGGAGGCCCCATCCCTGGAGATATTCAAGGTCGGGCTTGATGGGACTCTGAGCAACCTGATTTTGTAACATTGTCCCTGCTTACTGCAGGGGGTTTGGACCAGATGATCTTTAAAGGTCCCTGCCAACCCAATACATTCTATGTTTCTGTGATTATATGATTCTTTTAAATAAATGCATCCTTTTGAATGGAAAGAAGGTTGGGGGTTTTTTTGGCAGAAATTCTCTCCCAGGAGTAAATAACTTTGATTCACTAGAGAGGTTAAGTCCCACCAGAGCCAGGACACCTGTGTTGGTGTGGTTCTCTGGTTCCTCTTTAGAGACTGAACCAGTAATTTATTACCATACTGCATTACTAAGTTACCTTCATTACTCATTATCTTCTCTAGCCATTGATATGGAAGAAAAAAGTAGGCAAGCCTTGAGCCAGGCTGCGTGCTGTACAAACAATAAAGATTGAGAGCCCTGAACAGGGCTATTTCAGTGCATCTTGCTGTTCTGTGCTCATTAGGATGAGGTACTTTGTTGTGTTTGTTGTGTACTTTTACTAGGAAGACACTCTGTGACGTAGTTTTTTCTTTTCCCATCACTGTTTTTCCAAAATGGAGCAAGAACAAGCAAAAAGGCAGCTGCTGTCATCTGGGGTCGGCCCTTGGTGGTGACCTCATTTGAACTCAATCCTCCTCATACTCTGTTAAAAGTGAGGCAATAAAATACTACCACTCTTCATTTGTGAGCTAGGAACAGAGGCTGAAAATTTTAGTTTTAATTTTATCTGAGAAGCTTGGTTTTCGTAGGTGAAAACCTGCTGGGTTTTTCCTTTCGGTTGTGGTGGGTACTTAGTACTTTTCTAATTTTGTTTTACATGAAATGCTAGTTGTGTTTCTTGTAATGTGCTAGAGCACCACGTAATTAAGTATTATGATTTTTTTAAACTATTGTGGCTTTTTTGCCTCCATCACAAAATGTTGTTTGAATCTTTTTTTCTTCTTTCCCCTCCCCCCCACTTCAAGATCATTCCATATGTTGGGACAATACTTGGTGGCCTTGTTCCTGGAGAGCTGATTGTGATACATGGGACTGTTCCTGATGATGCAGACAGGTAGTGGCTACAGTGTCACTTTTTGCAGTCTCACCAAATGAACAAGAATGTAATGGATAAAATGTCTCCAGGGGTCCTATGGCACGCAAAGGCTTGATCTAAATCCTTGTGGCAGCATCAGTGTGAATACAGGCTTAAGTGGTTAATGAAAGCTTTGTGATGAGAAGTGGAGGATGAGCTGATTTTTTGCTTTCTACTGATCCTCTCTTCTCTCTTTTTGCTTTGCCTGCTTTGGCAATTTTTTCCCCTGTCATAGCGTATGTCTGCTTGTCTAAAAAGGTTATCTGAGACTTAATAAAATTGATAACTGAATGTGCTGTGTGAAGGAATTAACTTTAAGTGGAATAAGGAGGTAGGAACTAGTGCATGTGCCTGGTATGGGGGTTGTGTTCCTTGACTTTGCCCAAGGTTTCTTTGGTTATTCCACTGAAGATGATAGAGGGAAGGTGGTGACCACAGTAAGTGAAGAGCTTACATGATATCAATGATGACCGTTAAATAAATAAATTTTTTAATTCATTGCAATAAATCATGGGAGAACCTTTCACAAATGTGTAGGAATTGGACAAATACACGTTTGGGTTTTTTCTTACCCAACAGCACTCATTGTGTCTGCCTGTTCTGAGGCTTCACTGTAAAACACAAGTGTATCGAACTTTTAGTTGATCTCTTGACAGACTGAGCTGAATGTCATTTGTCTTATTTTTGTGATTAGATTCCAGGTGGATTTACAGTGTGGCAGCAGCATCAAGCCTCGAGCCAATGTGGCATTTCATTTCAACCCCCGCTTCAAAAGGTCTGGCTGCATTGTTTGCAACACACTGGAGAGTGAAAAATGGGGCTGGGAGGAGATCACTTACGAGATGCCCTTTCAGAAAGGGAAGTCATTCGAGATTGTCATAATGATTTTAAAGGATAAATTCCAGGTGAGTTGGGGTTGATTCTTTATCCCTAGCCAGTTGTCTAGCCAATGAAAGAGGGGTGTTTTGTATGCATACAGTAAATAGTTGGAAGCCTTGGTTTCTCTGTTAGCTAAGTATAGTCTAACTATGGAGAAGTTTGGAAGCTTTTTTTTGAAGATGTGCTAAATGAATCAGACTTTTAATTTTGTATTGCTTCCCTCCTACTTGGATGAGTAGGCAAGTAACTTCCTGCTGTGGCTAAAGGCTACTCCACCCTTCCCTTCTTATGGGCAAATGGCTGACCTTAGGATAAATGTGTTTTATGCCTAGTGTAAATGCCTAAATGTGTTTATGCCTTGCTCTGTTAGAGTGCAATAATAGACTGTTAGATGGGTAATAAATGATCAGGTAATAGGAAAAAAAAGGTGTGAAATGCAAATATTACTGTAGGCAAATAAACTCCCTCTTAGTGATGGAAAGAGAGACTGAATTGTCCATGAGCTGAACTTAGTTGCTCTGAAAATTCTAGGATGCTCCCTGCTTCTGTACCATATCAGTGTAAAACAGAGATACGTGCATACAGTTATACGTGACTGGTGTATGTTTAATACAGTTTTCCTATTTTGTTTCTTGTCTCTTTAGGTGACTGTGAACAAGAAGCACTTGCTGCTCTACAAACACAGAATTAGCCTTGAAAGAATAGATACTCTTGGAATATATGGCAAAGTGCAGATCAAAACTATAGATTTTGTTTCTAATGTGAGTTATATAGACAGCTGACTTGTTGATTCCTTTTCCCTGTCTTGCTAAATTACTATTTTTTTCCCCACATTTCAATGTATGAGTCTCATGTGAGGATCTCTGTCTTCCTGTTTTAAACTTGAGGTTAGGGGCAAAAGGTTGATAAAGTTCACAGCTTACAAAGTTAGTGGGACAGATGGTATAAGAATTGATTGGATACTGGATCTAGGAATGGATTAGGCTTTTCAAATGTTGCAGAAGCTCCAAAACTAACTCTGAGCATTCAGTGCTTCTAAGTGACAAGTTGAGCCATGGCTGTAACTTTTTGCTTGGCTTCGAAGTGCCATTTTCAGCCACAGCTACAACTGCTTGTGCACGTAACCCCGTTTTTCCTGCTAAAATGACTGAGTTGTTGAATGAAGTGGTAAGTAGGAATGTACGTTTCTTTCTGGAGGGGATGGGGGAAAGAAGAGGTGTCCTTTCTCAAAGACTTTGTGGCTTGACTTGCAGTTGGACCAAATTGCGGTGAATTTAAAGTGAAGGCGGTGCTGTGCTTCCTCTCACTTGCCAGCTCTGCTAGGGAGAGTAAAGCAGCAGGGAGGAGTTAAGCAACATTTTGTCCTGTGCAAAAGGAGAGATCCTTCTGCTATGGAAGGGTGAAACTGTTAGAGCAGAAATGGAAGCTGATAAATTCCAGGGAGAGACAGAAGGTGAATGCCTTTTCCCTTTCTTCCTGCCACTCACTAAGGCAGCTGACCTACTCCTGTGTAATGTGCTGGGCGTCTTCTGCCCCCTCCTCAAGGGTCTCTTGCTGCCAAAAGTCAGGTATAACTCGGGTCAGCAGACTAATGACTGTGTTGATGGAAGGTGGAGATCTGGGTCTGAACAAAGTGGGGTCTAAGCTCACTGATCATTTGCAAAGCCTATGTACAGACTTCGATGGGCCCGATCACTTGGCATTGGGAGCCTTGCCAGAATAATGTCACTTCGGAGCTATCAGAGTCCTGGTCTTGGAGGATAGACTCCAGGAAAAGCTTGGGAGCGAGCAGGGGCTGTAGGTTGGTTTCTGTCCCAAGCACAAAACAGAGTTTCTTTAGTCTGTGGTAGCTGATGGTATATCCTCTGGGGAAGAAAGGAATGAAGAAGAGTGATTGTTTTCTTTTTGTCTTTCCTCTGAGGAGGAAACTGGAGGCTTGTATTGAAAGAAACAAGCTGAAGACGCAGTCTGCCAGGACTGGGCTGGAACTAGATCTCTGCAGGGCCAGGTTGCTTATCTGCCCTTCCCATGGGAAGAGACAGGGAGGGATGTGGGGGACTGCTTATGGTTCCAGAGCCCCTGCATGGTCCTGCCCTGCTGGTATTCCTACCCCAGTGAGGAAAGCTGAGTGGGTGCCCTCAGATGCTAAGTGGTTAACAGCGCTCTGACTGTTTAAAGAAAGATTCAAACTGTGGTGGTCTTCAGAAATCTTCTATTTGGCTTCAGCAGTTGGTCTTAAGGACTTTTCCTTGGTTTGTAGGGGTTTGGCTATCTTTTTCTTTACTATAGCCATAGATTTCCTTGTTAACAGTTCGCTCTTCAAAGCAGCACAGATCCTTATGTGGTTCTAAACCAACTTTATGTTAAAGTTCTGTGATGTTAGCAATGACATCTAAATATCTCTCTTTCTGCAGTCTTTACAAGGCTCTCAGCCATCCTCTCTAGGAGTAACAAAGATAAACACAGAAAATGTACGTATATTTGTAAAAGGTTGAATGAATATCCCCGTTGTCTGATAAGCTGGTTAATGTTGTTTGTTTTCTTTTATAGGGGAAGATGCCAGATGGTTCACAATTTGTAAGTGTCTCATGTGGACTTGTGGCAAATGAGAAAAACACTGAAATAAAAACATCTCAGTTATCTATGAAAGAACAGGCACAGAACAAGGGAATCGAGAAACTACTGGGAGATGATCATCATTGAGGTTTCAGAGAGACTAATCCTCTTTGCTGCCGCTAGTAAAAGCTGAGGGTATTTGTTAAATCATTTAGAGAACCCTAAAGACAAACATAGCATCCACAGCCATAAGCAGAGGAAAAAAAGTGAGATGCCTGAAGTTTTAAAGGACCAAATCACATTAAAAAGTTTTTTGTTTTGTTTTGTTTTCCAAATAAGTACTCTTAGTTTTCTCTACCATAGGGAGTACCTGCAAAACAAAAGTCATTTGGCATAATATGACTGCCAAATGACGTTACGTTAATATGCGCATCTCAGAGCCTGCCTGGGTACATTTCCTCTGCGGACAGGTCCATGCTTACCCTGGGAACGCTTTGGGTGGCTGGATGCAAGCATTGCATTTTTTTGCAAAAAGCTGTGCAGGTGGGCAGTATCCAGGCTGGAGTAAGGACCATGCTCAAACTGAAAAAGGGTTGGGAGCCAGGAACATATACAAATAAAGTGTGTGGAGAAGGTGAGGTTGCAGTGAGTGCCATGATTTTAGTTGCTTTGTCACTTGACAGCGTGCTGCCTTCAGGCTTCTTGTCAAAACCAAATAACATGCAGTATTGTCATTTGCAAGTGGTGGACTTCAACAAAAAATAAAGGCAAAGTACTTCTCCATTCCCTCCTTTTCTCTGATCAAAATAACTTCTAACACAATGGGAAAAAAAGGCAAATAAGATACTTGCACTATCTGTCATTATGAACCAGTGTTAGGAGGACAGAATACTCCGTGGCCCTGCTTCTAGTAGTTAGTGATGATGGGACCACACACCTGGCGTGAACTGTATTCTTTAAGGCACAGCTGAAGCTTTCAGAGAGGAGAGGTTGGTATGTCTATATCTAAATAAGTATGCGATACAAATTTAAATTAGTGCAGGGCATTTTATGCTTACTTTTTTTCCTTCTTCCACCATTGCTGGTGGTGGAAATAGTTGTAGATAATGTTTATTTTGAACCCAAGTTGGTGTTCTAAATGAAAAGCCTGACACATCGATACATTTATCTCAGTGTAACTTTCCTACTATACTATTAGTATCCCAGAACTTGTTGGTAGGATTAACTTCAGCTGTAAGTGCAGATTTGCAATTGTAGGCCAGATTTCTTCCTGCCATAGTAAAGTTCAGCTTATCTTTTGAAAAAAAAGCAAGTCACAGTCAAAATTTTTACTGATGGTGTACTTCCAGGGAGTTCCTTACATTGGGAAACTTGATGCTGCACTTCGTCCAGGATGCACGGTGGCCATTAAAGGAGAAGTGGTTCAAAACCCAAAGAGGTAAGTGTAACTGGTTTTTTTACTGTTATTTCACTGAGCTACTTTTGAGAATGAGTAGGCTTTTCCACTGCCTCAGTATCTCCTTACTCACTTGCAACTTTGCATCTGGAATCATCTGAAATTACAGTGCAGTTTTCTCAGGAACCTGCAGGATCTCGCTTTAGAGAGCACTTAAAAGAGCAGCTCCTTTGCGGAAGTGAAGGTAAAACCTGAGTGTCTTACCTGCTAAACTTGCATCACTCACAAGACTGTGTGTCTGCGCAGGGGTTTCATGGTGCAGGGCATGGGAGCACACATGTCCTTCAAAGTCAGCTTTTGTTCTAAAGAGATCCCAGAGTAAGGGAGCTATCAGAAGTAGATGGAAAGTGAGTTAGCTGAGTTGCTCAAATGCCACATTACATTTCTCTGAGTACTTCTCAGGCGGCTTCCTTGCTGGCAGTATAAGCATGAAGGTGCCTAATTGACAGCAATTGAAGGCTGAAAGCTGGTAGGGGAGTATGGGCTATAATTTTGATAGCAAATTAGGAATAATGGGTTGCAAAGATGACATTTTTCCAACATGATTTAAAGAGAGGAACAGAAAGGGGGAGTGCAACATGGTCAAAATGGAGCTGAGGAAATGTCTGTACTTCAGCATGCCCCTTGCTTGGAGGGTGGTTTTGGCTCTGCAGAAACATGCCTGGAAGTGAAGCAATTAGTGCAATGATAGAAGCATGCTTTTTACGCTGTGTGTGTGCATTGCACTCCTGCTTCCTTGGAGCTCGTATCTTCCTTGCAGCTGAACAGCACTGAGTTTGTACTAATGATGGGCCCAGGGTCTAGAAATCTCAAAGTTCGAATAGACTTCAAATTGGACAGGATACTTGATACTTGGACGGTAGCATTTGTTTTCCTTCTTTTGGCTTGAAAAGCTTACTAGCACATTTCAAGTCCTGAATGTGCTGCTTGTAAGTGTGAAGAGGCTTTTGGGTGTTTGTTAAAGCATTGTAGGTTGTCTGCTCTTTGTGTCTGTGCTTTGAAACATACAGGTTTTTTTACAGTTTGCAAGTTACCTAAAGTCGTTGACTCAGTTCACACAGTTGTCCTTCATTTGCTGCCTCCAGGAAAGGTTTCTGTGCAAAAGAGACACATGCACGTTAACTGCCTGTTTGGTTCTTCTGGTGAATTGGGGCCCTGGCTCTGGAGCAGCGCTGGGTACTGGCTAAGGGCTTGGGAAACAGCACAGACTACTGCCGCATGGTTATAAATCCTTGGTATAGTAAACTTAAAAAAAAATATCTTCCAGCTTCGCCATAAATCTGAAATCAAGTGACTCAAAGGACATTGCATTACATCTGAATCCCCGAGTGAAAAATAAAGTTTTTGTAAGAAACTCATACCTTCATGACAGCTGGGGAGAAGAAGAAAGGGAAGTTGCTGATTTCCCATTCAGACCAGGGATGTACTTTGAGGTAAGATTAACTGAAACATAGCATCACACTGGTAATGCTGCCAAAAGGATTAGCAGTGGTGCTTGAATGTCATGTCACTAGCATGGATTTAAGTAAAACTGCCATTCCTGCATTTCAGTGTCTTGAGAATATTTAGGATTAAATGGGACCATAGGGAGCAGAGATTTGACTTAGTTTTAATGACCATTTTCTTTTTAAACAGTTGCAAGAATTTGGCGAGTCCCCAGAATGCATTTTAATTGAACTGAATTGGACTCAGTGATCCTTATGGGTCCCTTCCAACTTTAGTTAGAGTCTATGAATTTTATTGAAGTTACACTTTTTAAAATGTTTCTTTTGCATGAAGCATTCTTTGTAGCAGAAGCAGGGCTTGCCCATGTCTAGGCTAGATCATCAGGTTGTTTTTCATGTCTTACCTGAGCTTAATACTTAACTGTTTCTCATCTTGTTTTCCAGCTGATCATTTTCTGTGATGCCCACCAGTTCAAAGTTGCTGTTAATGGTGTTCACACTCTGGAGTACAAGCATCGTTTTAAACAACTTGAAAAGATCAATGTAGTGGAAGTCATGGGAGATGTTCAGTTGTTAGATGTGAGGAGCTGGTAGTTCTTTTCAATCAGTACTCAGAGACTTTAATTAATAAAATTCTCTCTCATTAATGACAGTGCCTCCTTGTCCAGTACAAACAGGTGCTGCCTTGTGCTGAGCCTGCCTTTATCTACCCAGGCTTCTGTGTCTGCCTCTGAGTTAGGCAAGTACCAGAACTGCTAACTGCAAGATTAAATCCTTCTCTAGTTTACAGTATCCTGGCAAGCTACATAAGTGGTGGCTCAGATAAATCTCCTGCATTACTGAACTTAGCAATATGAAAATGCTGCATTGTACTGTGTCCAACAATTGCACTCAGTATGTTTAAGTTAGACAACTACTCAGCATTCCTTGATAGTATACATTGAATATTGTGAAGTAGAAATAAGACTGCAATACAGTCCGAAGATATTCACCCTAAAAGGGACATTGATAATTAATTTAAAATAGATATATGATATGTACTCTTCTGCTTCTTAGTTTGTATTAGCAACTATAACATTTTTACTGAGGCCAGATTAAGCAAACAGTTGACCCATCAGTTCTAGCAAAGGGCAAGGAGGAAGTTGATTATCTTAGCCTGCTGCTGCAGTAGTACCTTCTCTGATACTCATGGTTATCTCACCTCCTGCTTGTAAGCAGCTTAAATCAAACCTACAGCAGCATTTAGCTTTTCATTTTCTGAAGTGAAACAAATGAAAATTATTTAGCTGGTTCCAGTTGTGTAAACTTTTGATGGTTTGTTTCATCTGAAATGGCTCCTGAGTTGAGATTGCTCAAGGACTATAGTACATGTTTGTGGTTTTCATCTTCAAAAAATGTGTGAACCCAGGTGCTCCAGACAGGGTTTCAGCTGAGATGAGGCATGGATACTCAGTAGAATAGAAAGTGGCTCCTTTTTTCCAGTCTTGTGTTAAAATACTATCTGAAACAAACTGTTCCTAGTCAATCGGGTTTCTGTAAAAATGTCATTCTTAACTTTTTTACTCTTTTCTAAAATAAGTTGCTACTGGCTGGCAATACATGCCTGAGGGATGTTCCTATTTATCTTAACAGCTGCTAAAAGAGTGAAGCAATTTCAAGAATAAGATACACCCTAAAAGAATGTTTAAATTACCAGATTTAATGTATAAAAAGCATAAATAAAAACATTTGTGAACTCAGCTACTTAACTACACCTGGACAAATGCAATGAACTCTTTTTGGTCTATATGTTGTCTTGTTTTGTTGCTTACCTTACCCATTATCTCCAAGGTGGCATAGTGCTCTGGACTGGAGGACTATTTCCACATGGAGGAGTTGGCAATCCACAGACCAGCAAGGTGCTGTGCAGATTCCTCGGCTGCAGGACCAGTGGAGCTGGTGGGCAACTCCTGCTCATTAATGGCAATTACAGCGCTTGGGTGGCCTTGCCTTTATCTAAAAGTTCAGC